CCAAGTACAGAAAGTAGTTCAGTAGAATGCTCGAAAATCCAACATTAATAATATGGGTCAGAAGAGGCAAGTTAATCAATGTTGCAACTAAAGAAATAACAACGCCAATACATACATTTCCATTCTTATGATTTTGAGGCGTCAAAGGGAACCATAATATAAAAATATGTTTTGTATAGGGAAGGCTGTGGTGTGTGGATAGTGACAACAACACCAGTTCTGTTCCATTACAAGACATAAGTGGTGCCAAGTGAATCGATAGCACTCTCGGACAAAAGCAGGTTTAATTTGGGCTGCAGCAGCAAAGAGATATTTCCACACTTTTAGAGCTCCATTTCCCCAACACTGAGAAACCCCTGTGCACCGCAGGTCTGAGCAAAACATGGAATTATCGGCTAATCTCCATGGCATGAAACACTGGTTGTATTTTTTGCAAAGTGAGAATATATTTGATGACGAAGAACTTGCAGTAAATCAAAGTCCAGATTCAAATTATTCAATATTGAGAACACATGTATTATTTTGTGTTCAAAGTTGCATTGTTAAACTTGTGGTATTGAAATGTATGGTATGGAATCAAGTCTTTTCTTTAGTATTGTGATTAAAAAACAATATTAGGCATTTCGCGTTTTTGATCATAATAAGATACAATTCCATTTAGCTGTACTAGTTGGCTTGTGTGTAAGTGTAACAATGTGGCCACTCTAAACTTTTGCGATCAGACGCAATTAAAATAGACATTATTACTGGTAGAGATCATTACAAACTTTACAGATGTGAAAAAGTGAAATGTGTGATACTTTGTGGTGGTGAAGGACTCTAGGCTAATTATCCCAAGCTCAATATGCGTTTGTCTTGACTGTCAAAAAACACCACAAAACAAAGATATTTTTTCACCACCAGTTGCACTGAGAATTGTGTTTAATAAAGAAGTTTGCATCATGGCTTTTGTTTTAGCTTCATGTTTAAATTACTGCAGATAATTAACAGCAAAAATCCCAATAGGAAAAAAAACTGAAAGGTAAAAACAACATCCTTCAAAATAATATATATCTTTTCAACATTTTAGCAAAGCTCTAGAGGGCTTGCTCTGATTAAAAACGTCCCCCCGTTTTCCCCTCTGATTTGACTGACTGCTCTTGTAAACACAGGCTCACATCACGCTGCAAGAATTCAATGAAATCGAGTGTAAAAATAAAAATCATTGACTGGTTCTGTCTGACAATAGTCTCTCCCGACAAGACTGGACACAAGCAAATCTATACGGCAGCGCACACTCAGATGACCTTATTCTTCAAGAGGTATCTTTATAGGCTGAACATAAACGCTTTCATTGAGGCAGAAAATTCTAAAAGTATTACGCAGATATTTGACCTTAAACTATATTTTCTTAAAATGCGATCCACTGTCTTCTTGATGTTGATGATTTTTCTCAGTGAAAATGTAATCGGTAGCAGCAATTTATTTTTTATCAATTAAGGAGAAATTGCAGTTAATGTTTTTGATCCATCCATCCATCCATCCATCCATTTTCTACCCTTTAATCCATTTCTGGGTCAGGGGGGTGGCAGTCAGAGATGCCACCCAAGTCTCATAGCACCAGCCCCTCACTGACCCTCTGCAGGTGGTGAGTCCACAGGAGGGACTCACCACAAAACAATCATGTTTTTGATCCAATTAATTAAAACGATATGAACTCTATAACATGTATTTATATCTTTAGAAAACTGTTTTGGTGAAGTGAACATGTAAATGGTAGGTGAGCTTTGGCTGCAGTGTATGTGTGTGTGTGTGTGTGTGTGTGCGTCTAGGTGTGTGTGTGTGTGTGTGTGTGTGTGTGTAGGTGTGTGTGTGTGTGTGGTTGTGAGGTCAGCAGTGACGTTTGCACAAAAGCTGCAGTCATTTGTCACTTGTGTCTGGAGCGACTGGAACAACTCAACACGCTGCTTTGGACTCAACACACTTCAACTGTGCCCCAAACGTCGCACAAAACATACACTTTTGATATATACACATTTTCGTGACGCCTGTGACCACGCATTGCCAAACTTCACCGCTCACTCAAACATCTTGGAAACAACGGCACATTAATTACGGCTCTCAGACAGCTGTATTTGGTGCATTTGCCTCAAGTTACCGGAGAAAAGCACATTTCTGAATGTATTTTGAAATATTGAGTATCATTATGTTGACATATCTTCGATGGGAAGTTCACAGTGAGTAATAATTATAGGCTTTCTCCACCCAAAGTTGGAAGAACAAGCAGTGGTTCGAGCGTATGCATGTTTGCTTTGGCACGAGCACCTTGGTAGTCCACATTTTTTACCTCTCTGACTCGTAAAACCAACTCCTTGTCATGTTTAATATTGATTTGACTGATTATTTATTGTAATACATAATACGAGCTGGTGATTACTGTGATTCTAACTTGACGAAAAGTGCAAATTCAGACCATGCCCAACTTTTTACAGTATTCCCTCATTAAGTCCCCTCAGTGCTGCTCCCACTGCTTTATATTCCCCCTGTATCACTTTTAAGTCGCCGGTGCTAAAGTTTACAGGCTTCGCTCTGTACTCTTTCCTTCTTCTCTCTCCTCTCCTCCGTCGGAAATTCTGCTCACGCACAACTGCGGCAGCCCTCCTCCAATCGCTGGCATTAATCCACACCTCAGACCCCCCAGACACACCGTCTCTCTCCCACAATGCACCTCAGCGCCCAAACTTTCCTAGACACATTCGGTCCTGTGTCTGCAGACCTTTTGAGCGCTCATTTCATCGCCCGGCCGCATTTGTTCATTCTCTTTATGTCCAAAACTCTTTAAATTTCTCCTTTCTCTGTCCCCATTCAGCTGCAGGCCGCCTGACAAAAGTATCTCCTAATCTTGCCTTGAGTCCACAGGGCAGCAGCAGCCACCCAAAAACCATCCCTGCTTCGGGATGGTGTAGTTTTGAAGTTTTACAGACATTTACATCACTGAGACCTCCGAGGAGATCTTCTGTGTGTTCTGCGGTGTCAAAGGTTCACGCACAATGTATTTTTAAACAGATGTACGCACTCTCAGACATGGCTACTCTTATTGTGAGTTGTATTTTGCTATTTTAGTCAACAAGTCACTGATCAATTCTTGTCTTTTTGTCTCTTGTCTCAGGAAACAGTGAGAATACAGTGAATGCCTAAAAGTGTACATTTAATACTGTCTCTGGAGGCTTCGAGATGAGAGAATATAAGAAGTTCATGATTTAAATATAGCCTTTTATTGATGGATAAAATTAATTTGACTTAAAATAGAAGCATTCTGTCTTACACGTCTTTAAAGTCCAACTTCAGAAGTAGGATTATTAACATATGATTATACTTCAGTTCAAATCTTAGTCTAAATAAATTGAACTTTGTATGACACCTGTGAGTAAGGTTCATTGGAAGAATACTTAAAACTATGCTTAATACTTTTTAATAAGTGCTTAAAGTTCTCTCATCTTTTCTGTCATCGATCACCAAGCGTACAACTCAACAAGAAACAGAATAGCTCATCTTAAAGTAGATATTAGAGGGTAAAAGTGGAAACAGACAGACTGTTTTTCACAATTTTCTCTATTTTTCTTAAAGTATGTGAGAAGTAAGTTCCTCTAGTATGTGAAGTGCAAAACTAAGCAGCCAAGATTGATAACTTATTTTTCCTTGTTCACAAACAGAAAAGTAGAATTCCCCCCTAAAGCGACAATACTTTGCATCAGGGCATCTCTCTCCAAGGTTATGTTGTTTGTGCCAAAGTGTGATTTAACCAAAACAGAGAGAATATCAAAAACAGCAGGTATATCTATGCCCGACATGGATGCTGGTTTGGACGGCAATGACCTTTCTTTCCTAATATCGTCTGTGCCTCTAAATCCAGTCTACTGACTTTTACAGCTCCAGGGTCTTTGCTGAATGATGTGCTGATGTGCTCTATTAACTCTCCTTCTCAATGATCGGTCAAAAAAAAAGTGGAAATCTCAAAAAGTAGCATTGTCGTGAGCGATCTGTCCTACAGCGCACCAAAGGAATGGGTCGTGTCGACAGAGGGGAATGGACATTTGAGTCTAAGAAGTCTATGAAAGTAAATAATATCATGAATGTGCAGGTTAGCCGGATTAGTACGAACATTAGTCCAAACGTCTCTGGGATTAACAAGTAAAGACGGGAAAGGTTTAAAGTAAAAAAATTGGTGTTAGGTGGGAACCTAAGGGTACCTCACGATACGATACGATACACGATACAAAGCTCACGATAACGATATTACGATAACGATTTTATCACGATATGACGATTATTGATATATTGGTCAGAAATATACAATATGCCAATTTATGGCATAAATAAAAGAAAAAATACTCTTTATTTCATGATAAATAGAATGTAGATGCGTAATGTAGCCATATATTAAGTATTGATACTAATTTTAAAAAAAAAAGTTAAAAAAAAATAATAATAATTCTTTTTTTTTTTTTTTTAATCGATATCGATACTTGGCAAATGCATATCGATAATTGAATCGCGGGAGAAAGTATTGCGATATATCGAAAAATCTATATATCGTCACACCCCTAAAATATATATATATATATATATATATATATATATATATATATATATATATATATATATATATATATATATATATATATATATATTTTGTTTGTCCAACCAGAAACAAAAGTCTTGTAAAAGTGAAAAGTTGTCTGCAAATCCGTCCATATCTTCATCTTATAAGGAATCGTTTGCATGCGTGTTAGAAAGAGTCCCGTGAGTCACTATTTGACGTTTTGGGCTGAGAATTGATTGGCGGAGTAGGCGGCCCTCTCTTTTTCAATTTTCTGCCTGTAAAAGCTGATCTGAAGATGAGATAGAGGACATTACTCTGTTTACTACTTTTCACTCACCCCCAGTATATTACTTTCTGTTTTGCATTTACCTTGCGTTTTTCTTTTCTTTTGCTTCTTTTGTACGATTGAGCCGGTGCCTCATCGACCATTCATCTTTGTCAAAGTTTCAAGTATGTTACGAGGATTTTCCAATAATCCATGAGCTGCACCTGTTGAGTACAACCACAGACGAAACTTATCAATTGTTTTCCCTAATCTTGTGTGGCGTTCCCAGCCTCTTAACATTCCCTGCAGCCCATAGTCACTGCACCAGGCCTCCTTTCTCCTCTGGCAGCGAGTCGTGTGAGAGAAAAGCCCACTAATCAGCATCTGTTGGCTGTGTGCTGCTCTTCATAAGGGTTCAAACTTCTATCCCTGATCTCATTTGGCTCTTGGGAATGGCTGGAAAAGACAAAGCTAAGAGGATCTGTGCACAGACATGATGGGAAGGACAGATAGAGCAAGTTCAGTGCAAAACCCACACGTGAAATGCTGCTAATAAGTTTATGCAAGTTACAGCCGACAGCACACACGATGGAGCCCAATATGAACTCGGGGCCATTCTCAGATAATAACTATGGGATGCAAATGTAATAGTATTGATATTGATTTGCTAAAGGATGAATGAAGTGAATTGAAAATAATTATCAGTTTAAATAAGGACATATCTTAACAAAGAGGGATTACTATAGATAGAAGTAGATATATCTCAACTTTTAACAATTACAATCATTTAGTATGTCCTTTCTTGGTTTGAAAAGGCACTTTGAGTTGCTTGTACTTGCTTGTAGACTGTACTATACAAATGCACCTGCCTTGCTGTTAGCTTGAAGCAGATAGAGACATGTTATAAATCATGTAAAAAAAAACGTGAGGATTCTGTTATATATGCACGTATTTTTGAGGAGTGTTGACTCATCAGAGGAACTGATTCTGTTTTGTATTGGTAATTCTAGTGGCACCTGTATTAATCACCCATGGATCGCTAGGGAGAATTTGATTATGCAAACAATTCATCTCTGCGTGTTAAATCCATCACTGTTTCACCACGTTCCGTAAAACCCTTCGAAGCATCGATATTGTTTGAAGAATTTTGAAAACGCCCATGAGTTGTTTGTGATTTCTGACTTCTGTCTCAAGCATAACGCAGTATCGTCCAGCCTCTGCCCAAAGTGCGGATGGTTTAATGTCTTCTCGTTCTCCTATTGTTTCTCCCTATTAGACCCTGCAGCCTTCCTCCTCCTCCTCTTCTTCCTCCCCCTCCCTCCCCTCTGCAGCCGTGTCCTCGTTTGACCCAGCCCTCGGACTCGGTGCCCACAGCTGGTGCAGCCTCAGCCGGAGCCATTATGCCTCCGCCATCTGACGACAAAACGCGCCACTCAAAACTCATTTCCAACAACATTTTTACACTTTAAACTTCTGCGGTTGTTTTATTTACCCGTTTGTCTACTATTTGTAGCTCTACTATCGTCGTAATTGCCCAATCTTTCAAATCAGGGTCTTTTAAACAGCCGTCTTATCAGTGCAGCGATGAACCATTGGCTCCAAATAAACAAAACCAATTTGAAGATGACACAAACATGGCAGCCATTTTGGAACATTTTGGACATTGAGAGAATGGTTCATATGCTCTGCTCCGAGTCCAATCAGATGTCACGGTGTCAGTAATGGACCAGGAAGTGACAAGTGTCTGCTCAAAGCTGATTGGTTGGTCCCGGAGTGGTGGTTTTACTTTACCACAGACAAACAGAAACAGAGCGTGATAAGAGTTTTAAACCTCAGACAGATATGAAGAATATAAGATAAAAGCAATTAGCACATAGTTAAAGACAATTGGTGCAGCTAATGATATAAATACACAGACAAATATATTACTGAGGATATGGATTGTGGTGTTTGAAGACGGATTAATTTCTCAACAAAACTTGGAAAATTACATGAAAAAAGTGGGTGATAAGTAATGAGTAAAACGAGGCTTTTAATGATATATTAACGTAAAGTGGGCAGATGCTAGGATTGGTGGGGGTATTATAATACTAAATATAATGTGCACACATAAACTGGGACTAAAACAGATTAGGATCAGGACAAAACTAAATGTGTGTCAACATTTAACTTGAAATACATCTCATTTATTTTTTTAGAAGTATCTTTAAATCTTGGATATTAAATTTGGATTTTTGGGATGGCATTGGAGCTGATGTTTCTCTGTGTTGCCAGAAAAATTTGACTTAAACAGAAATTGACAGTGGAAGCTATGGTCAATGCAAGAGACAATACATCTAGAGCATTATGATAACAAGCCAAGGCTTACTTATGAAAGCCGATTTTCATAAGCAGAAAATCACTCGCATCTTCCTCATGCAAGGGTTTATTGAATAGAAACATGCAATAAAAGCGGTGACTGTCAACGACCACTTACAAACACAGACATTGTCCCTGGATTGAGGAATGAGACGCCTCATTGAAAATTCAAATAGGTATGTTTTCATAATACATTAATAACACTTCAACAACGTTACAATTGTCTTAGCATTTCTGTGTTCGCTGCTAGAAAAAAGTAATGCGACAGAAACACCAACAACACAATCCTGAGGGTGTTTATTGAAAAGGAACACAGATAAAGCAAGGACTGTCAATGACCACTTAAAAATGCAGACATTTCCACTGCACTGAGGAATGAGGGATCCATGGGAAACTGGTTTTAGAGCCATCCACGCTGCTCTATGCACAGCATCCTTGAGCCTCATATACAATACTTCTTTGAACTTGTTAGACCCTTTTAAATAAATGTATTATAATCTTTGAGGTCCCTCGTCATTGGTTTAACTCCTCCAGCAAATCTCAGTTACTCGAGGGAAGGGACTGTGTTAAATTCATTATTGTTATATATATTATATTATTTTAATATATTACTGTTGAAAAACACTAGTACATTCAGTGTCTCATGGTAAAAAGAATCAAATACAATTCAAGTTGTTGACATCACTTCTAAGTATGATGATCCACACCGTGGATGCTGCCCCGATGGTGCAAAGCATTATGGTTAATGTGCAAGTAGTATTTAGAATCATTTAGTCTACAAATTAAAGTAGTTCTTTACTTGCAAACAAATGGGAGATTTTTCAAAAAACAGTCTTGTTGCCGACAAAGGAAATGTGTGTTTTGTGAAGGCTAATTAGCGGTCAGACTAGTGCATTTTAATTGCGGCAGACACTTCCAAGATGCAACACCTCTTTGTTTTTGACTGTTACAGTGTTTGTGCTATTAATGCATTATTAATTATAAAAGAGGCCCTAATGATCAGGCGCAGGGAGACTGGCCCTTTGAGGATCAGGTGGACTTGTCTCTGAGCCTTGTGGAGAGCTGACGCTAGTCCTGCCAGGAACCAGTCCCCAAAGATCTACTGAAGGCACTTAGACAGAAGGAGCGGGATCCGTCATTGAAACAAAAGGGTGGGGTTAACACACGACAAAATAGAGAGAAAATAAACACTGATAGGAAATTATTCAGTCTTTGTCGCAGGTGCGAGGGTAATTGTAAGCTAATATTGTGATAAAGGATCGTAGATGAAAGATTGAAAAAAGCTATTTTTCTTGGTTTGATTCCATTATTACACTTAATACTATTATTTGTTTGTAGAAATTGAATCCAGTATGTCAAAATACATATAGTACAGATCCATGGAAGAGACTTTTTGTACTTTAACTGCACAAGCGATGTACAGTACACATACAAATGGGTTAGGCTGAAAAACATTGCATGTAAAAGAAGATGACACAAATGATATGTCACTATCATATAACACTGTTTCTCCACAAAGAACATTTTAAGATAAACATCAGAGTCCATCTGTTCATTTCACTGTGAAGATAGATGATTTAATAATATCAGATTTGGTATTTGGTTATTCATCGTTAAGTTAAGGACGGCTTTGGTTTATCAGGTTGTTCTGAATAATTGATTGTATTTTCGTAATATTGTAATTTAATCTACCTCATATTATTCTAAGACAATAGACTTTAAACTGTTTCTATTAGCTCCAAACAATGGCAAGGCTCCAAAGTCAAAACTGACTTGAAGACAACTGAAGACAATGATTATAAAATTAATTGTTGTCAGCTCCAATTAAATATGCAAAGACGACAAAAAGCTGCCCTCTGGGGCGTTGCTAAACATTAGACAAAGCTGAAGATCTGCTGCAGACTGAGTGTGTGCGTGCTTAGGTTGTGTGCGTATGTGGTTAGGTAGTGTGTGTGTGTGGTTTGGTAGTGTGTGTGTGGTTAGATTGTCAGTGTTATGTAGTTAGGTAGTGTGTGTGTGTGTGGTTTGGTAGTGTGTGTGTGTGGTTAGATTGTCAGTGTTTGTGTAGTTAGGTAGTGTGTGTGTGTGTGGTTTGGTAGTGTGTGCGTGGTTAGATTGTGTGTGCGTGGTTAGGTTGTGTGAGGACACGCAGTAATTTATTCTGCTGGATTCAGTGAGTGGAGACAGGCAGCCGGAGGATGCCGAACCCGGCAAAGAAACATGCCAGGAATTTTAGAAGATGGCTCAGCAGTGGCTCCAGATGCAGCAGAGAGGCGGCAGTATTACTTATAGAAGAGCGATAGACAGTGAAAAACAAGCAGGGAAAAGGGATCCCCGCTGGTGCAACACCAAATCAAGAGCGCAGATGGAGATGGAGAAACTGTAGGAAAAGAGTTTCTGTCTAATTTAGTCGTTGCATCTTCAGAAACCGTGTAAACTAGGCCAAGAGGGAAACAGTCCCGTGTTAAATTATAGTAATTTAGTATTGCATGTCATGCAATCTAATGGCAAATCAAAGTCACAAATTAATGGTACTTTTTGGAGGAAAGTCAGCCAGATTTTGATTCAAAAGATTTATGATGCAGAAACATGTAAAACTGAACAAATACTAGAGATATTAATAAAGTATAATTTCATTATCATTATCCGTAATACATGTGTCTTTGCCCTTCCTGATTATATCTTAAAATGAGTTTCAAAACAGTCCTTTTCGTATGTGTCAGCCGTCAGACTGCTTTCACTTGGCTCTGTTAAGAGGTCACAGAGAACAAATATGTGCACAATAATAAGGTTTTTGCAGTTTTAAAGTCTTTCAAGCTGAGGCTTAGCTCAATTACAGGGATGCAACTATTACTATTATGATAAC